CGCCTGTAGGCGGTGTCGACCGCCGGCGTGTGGAAGCTGCCGGGAAAAGGGGGAGGACGTGGGATCCGCGCGGCGCAGCTCAGCTCAGCGCAGCGCCTGCGGCCTGTTGTAGCGCACGTGTCATAACACGCGGCATAACATGGACGTATGTCATGTCGCACATACCACGTAACATGTCACATAGATATATCACATATACATATCTATATATATCTCTATATATATCACATAACATCGCATCATATCACATAGCACGGGGGATCACGGTTTTCTCTGATAAGCCCCCCTCCCCCCTCAATTTTTGGATTAAAAAAAGGAACCCCAAATCCACATTTTCAGTGATTAAAACGAAACACCGATTTCTGTGTATGGATCTATCTGTCTTAGATAGATGGATCGATGGATAGATACATTAGTGGTGTATCGGTCGTAGCCGTGTTGGTCTAAGGCCACAGGCAGACAAGGGTCTTTGAGTAAATCTGCTATCTTTTATTAGAACAACTCAAATAGTTGGAAAAAAAATCTTCTTTGCAAGCTTTTGGGTATAATGGGTATTTATGACGAAGGGTATTTTTATACCTGAAAGCTTATTAAGATTTTTTTCCAATTATCGATATATTAGTGCATTTCATTTTAATCAGGGGAAAATGTGGATTTTTGGTTACTACTTTTAATCTGAAAATTGGAGATTTTTTTATCAGAGAAAACCAGGATCCCTGCATATCACATAACAATACAGCATATCGCATCACATCATATGACCTATCATATCTATACCTATATCTATATATATATATATATCATATGACATATAACACCACACATATCATATCACATAAAGTACATCATATAACATCACACAACATATTTCACACCATATAACATCACCTAATATCACATAACATACAACATCATATCACATATCACATCGTAGCGCACACCGTATAACAACATAACAGCTTTGAGCAAAACCCCATTTAGGACTCACTGAGGTCCCTACAGGTCATGACAGATTCACAGAAGTTTAGGGGTGGAAGAGACCTCGTGAGATCATCGGGTCCAGCCCCCCTGCTCTGGGCTGGAAAGACTGCCAGGGTCAAATAACCCCAGCAAGATGTGCGTCCAGTCTCGTTTTGAAGATCTCCAGGGTAGGTGCCTGCACCACACTGGCTGGGAGTCTATTCTAGAGTCTGGTCACACGAACTGTGAAGAAGCTTTTCCTTATATCCAATCTGAAACCTTCTAGGAGTTTATGACCGTTGCTCCTAGTTTTCCCCTGTGGCACTTTGGGGAATAGTTGTTTGCCTAGCCCCTGATTCCCTCCTGCCACCAAATCCCCCCGAAGTCTTCTCTTTTTCAGGCTGAGCAGTCCCGTATCTGTCAGCCTTTCCTCTTCAGGCCTTTAATCATATGAGTGGCTCTTCTCTGGACTTTCTCAAGCTTCTTCAAATCCTTGAAGTGCGGCACCCAGACTGGATGTAGTACTCCAGCTGCAGCCTCACCAGTGCCAAGTAGAGAGGGAGAAAAACTTCCTTAGTTTTGCTTGAGATGCATTGGTTGATACAGCTGTGAGGAACAGAGGAGAAGGTGGAGCTTCTCCAAAGACTCTCGCCTGTGGCCTCCTTCCAGAGGGACTCCGAGCAGATGGGCCCTTTACCCCAGCCTCCCTTTCAGCTGCAGTGTAGGCATGCCGGGACAAAAGGCAACACTGGAAAATGCAGGCATTGATCCTGCTATCTCTTGCGTGCTAAGCAAACACTCTACTGTCACAACCCAAAGGTGTGATTTTTGTTTTTGTGTGTGCTTTGGCACCACTGAATTATTTTCCCGCCAAATTGTAGCTTTCTTTGCAGGGTGCATTTCTTGTTGCAGCACAGAAATGCACGTTGCAAGGAGGCCATTTGTATTCTAATTCGAATCCCATTATTGGCTTGCGTTAAATTATTCACACGTGGCGGCTAGTGATGGGCTTGCTAGCCGTATAAAAGACTTGGGTGGTTTCCGCCCAAGTTGGAGAACTCCGAGGAGAACCCCCTCAAGGGAGGACTCCACGAACACCAGGAGGAGGAGACTTCACGCTGTGTGAAGATCTCTAAGCGCTGCGGAACCTATTGGACCCAGCGCATTTAAAGCAGGCAACAGGGGTCTGATCAGCCTCTAGCCTCTCCCTGTCACCAAGCGCAAACCTCGACGTATCCCTCTCCCTGCGCGCAAAAAAAGGACCCAC